ATAACGGCCACGGGGTGGTCATTCTTCCTGAGGGCGACCCAGTGGACGACTCGCTCGCCAAGATCACCGCGAGTTTCTCACAGAAGTTCAAGGAAGAGATCTCTGAATGGGGTCAACAGGAAATGCCAGAGACCTGGACCACGGCCTTGAAACTCATTGCGTTGCACGTGGAGATGAATATTCCTTGGGACCCCCGCAGCGACCTCTTTTGCGCGCGTGTTCTCGGTGCCCTCTTCACAGATAAGTTCCGCGCTCGCAAGGACAGCGTTGTGCAGTACAAGGAAGGCGCTTGGCGACCAGTGGAAGAACTAGATGAACGCACGCTCCGCCTCCTGGAGGAAAGCGTGGCTCGTGCTGTTCGCCTGCTCGTATACCTGGCCCAGAACGACGTGGCGCGGCAGTGGGCTGATGTTATGTTATCTCTTCGCGCCTTCGACTACTCGGAGTTCGCGCCCGTGACGAATGCCGAACTCCGAGGACCTGGCGGAGGCAATGGCAGAGGAAGAGGCAAGGGCCATGGGCGAGGGGATGCAGGGATGGACGAGCCAGAAGTCGTCGGACGTTGGCCGCTCGAACTCGCAGGCCCCATGCCCACGCTGCTTACGAAGTACACGGGTTCTGGCCGACAGTCGCAATGCGTGAAGCTCTATGGTGCTTGGTTTAAGCGGCCCCGCCCTGCGCCCAATGGCACCATGAACTTCGAGGATTGCACGCTGGTCGCGTCTGGCAATTGGGCGGCGGGGAACCGCCTGGAGCAGATACCGAGGTCGCCGACTAACGATTGCTGCACGCACATCCCTGCGTCTCTCACGTACACACCTGCCCAGGCAGACGTCGAGCGTCTCAGACTGCGCCTGTGCACTTCTTATGAGGGCCAAGCATCAGGGCGCAGAGTCGCCATGGCCGTCGAGGCTCTCGCGATGCACGGCGAGCCTTTACCGCCGAAAATCATCGTCTTGCAGGGCGGTGGCGGCAACAGCAAGTCTGCGACGACGAAGCTGCGCGCGAGCGTGTTCGCCGACTCCCACAAGTTCATGAGCGCGTCGTGCCTGCAGAAAGACGACGAGTTCAGGAAGCAGGGCGGCCATGTCGCGGGGGTCCCTCTTGACCATCCAGGAGTGCAGCGGCGGGGACCAATTGCAGGAGGAGGTGGCCGAGAAATTCGCCAGCGGCGAAGTACTTCCCTGTCGACCGAACTACGGGGAGACAACTGAATACTTCGGATGGCCCTGCGCGGGGAAGTTCTGGGAGTTGAACTTCGCGCTGCCCTCCGTGGTCGGGGGCCCGCGCGACCCTCCCTCGCTGAAGTCTTGGTGGCGTAGACTGCTGGTGATTCCCTTGGAGAGCTCCTACTCCGCGTCGCCCGCCGAGGTGCGCGTGGGCGATCGCGTCTTCCTCGACGACTCCACGCTCTCGCCGTTCCTGGGCAGCTGCGTCGCGCGCCACATCTACATGTGGCATCACTTGCTCCCGTTCCTCCAGAGGTACTCCGCCGACGACTGCAGACGCTTCATATCGCTGCCGGGCCAGGGCGCCCAGGATCGCACGATCACCTTCGTGCAGCAGATGGCGAACGCCGGGAAGAAGCCCGTGGAAGTGGATTCGACGGCCAACGGCAGCGGCGCCAGCGGGCCAGGTGACGGTGCTCGGAAAATTTTGTTCGACATCCACGCGGCCACGCAGAAGCGCCAAATTCTGAAGCCGTACGTATTCCAGTCTCTCTCACCGACGCTGTTGCCAGGGGTCCGCGACACTTCCGTCAAGGGCAAGAAGACCAAGCTGCAGAATCTGGATGACTCCATTCATGCATTTCCGTATATTTTCAAGAAGCTCCCTCTGGCGGGCGGCTGCCAGAAGCTCCAGATCGCTGTGCAGAAGTTCTCGGACGCCATGTCCCGCGTGGAGAACTGTGGAGAGAAGCTCGGGAGTTTCGAGGAGTGGGGGGAGATCTGGGCCGATCTGGAGCGCGGCCGCATGCGCTCCGAGCCCGATTCAAATTCTAACCCCGATACAACAGGCGCGCCGAAGTATGACCTCAGTGAACCCGCAGCCGCCCTGCGCGAGAGAGTGAACCGGGCGCAGTTGCGCGCCTATTGCGCCAGGGGCATAGACTCCAGGCAGAAACAACTGGAGAGCTACATTCAATGGCACGAAACCACGGGCGTGCAGGAGGGCGACTTCAGCACCATCGGGGTGACGTATTACAGGCCGTGGGGCCTTCCAGGGCGGATGCACGCCTTCGGCATGGCCGCGCAGAAGCTTGCGAGGCAGGCGCGCGCGGCTGCGTTCCAGGGCCACGCCGTCGACGTCGATCTCGTGGCTGCCTTTTCCCGCACGGGCTATCGCGAGGCGCGCCGCATCACGCGCAACTCGACGACCTACGGCATCTGGAGAAAGTCAATTCTGCACGTGGGCGCCAGGAGGGGCTTCATCAAGGACTACATGGAGATTTCGGACGACGAAGGGAAGAAGGAGATCACCAAGCTGTTCTTCCAGGGCACGCCGACGAACGAGCAGCCGCCGCCATGGGCGCTGTGGCGAGAGGTCGACGAGGGCAGGCGCGTGATCATGGACAGCCCCCGCTTCCACTACCTGCGCAACCAGTTCGGTGATCGTCGGGCCCCCGATGCGACCCGCTTCGCGTACGCCATGTTCGCGCTCGAAGACGAGGAGCTGGCCAAGCTTGTCGAAGCGATCAAAGGCCAGGACAGCAGCACGGAGGCGTTGGTTTACATGTTCGACGGAGCCATCATGTGCACGCCCGCTGGCCCCGCAAAGATCCAATCGGGGACCGACGCGTGCGAGGACACCAGCCAGGGCATCAACGCCATCGCGAAGCCGTTCGCAAGCTTCGATGAGTGAGCGTCGCAACCAGAGCGCTGTCTTCTCATGGTCGGCCAATCCATATGTCGAGAGCTACGGTATCTCAACTTTCTTGTGCGAGAAAAATGCAACGCCTCCCGAGCGAAACCGATCTCGCCGACCGAGCGACTCCCCCCCGCACCATCGGTTCTCAGCGTTTCTGGCCGTGGTCCGAGCAACGTTCGGGTATGTGGGAGACGCCCTGTGCGGTGTGCGCTTCGGTGTCGTGTTATTTTTTCGTTGCGATTTCCGAGCATGCGCGTTCGGCGAGATCGGTTTGGTTTAGAACTTGTCGTCATATTATTGTTGCATGCGCAGACGGGAAGCACCGCTGTGAGATCTTACAAGCCCACTGAACTTACACGAACTGAAGAAATAAAAGGCAGCACGCCCTGGGGGGTCATTGCTTTCATAGTGCAGCGGCGCGTGCATCCATGCGAACCAGCGTAGTGCAGCATCCATGTTGTCGCATTATCCGTAGCATTTTGCTTTAAGTGCATTGCCAGAGGGTTTGCAGACAATGCTACCTGTGTATTCGTGCCTCCTCAGGAAATGCGCCATCAAGGGGTGCAATGGCAATCTTTTTGAAGACACCAACGCTGACTGTACCGCAACTATTGTGGGGCCTAGCGGCATCGACCAGGTCTCATTGCAGCGATCAAGATGCAGCGCGTGTCGCACAACGTAGACGGGCAATTTCATGTGGGCGTTCGGAAAGAAAAGCGTCCTCACCCACGAGCAGATGAAAGAAGCAGGCGTCTACTTCACAACGGCCAACATTGGCTTCAGCATGGACTACCTGCGCGTCGCCAAATTGCGGTTGTTGTTCGGCCGGCTGCGTCCTGGCCAGGTCGGGCATTGTCAGAGGCCTTCCTGAGCATATACCCACCCCCATTTTTGGTTGGAGAGATTAAGGCCCGCTGGGCATTTTTCCCCTTGGAATTGCAGAAACGCGCGGCGCGCCAAATCTCATTGGAAAGCTTAGGTGGTGTTTGACTCAGGAACTCTTCGGCAATGCCAGACAAGGAATCCGCCGTCACCCGTGCGTTCTTTCAGAACTGCAGCGACATACCGTCCGTAGTCTCGTTGAGGGATCATCTGCTCCACGCGTTGGAAGGCGTCGCGGTGGCTGAGAGTGCGCTCGGGAAGACAGTGCAGTTCGACGTGGAGTATCCAGCGCGCAGCGTGTGCAACGACAGAAAGGTCATCACCTTCCAGCCGCCAACGGGCATCAAGGTGAAGGCGCTCGCATTTGACGGCCACTTCGGCGCGTTCCGAGCTCTCGAGAAGGGCGTGGACGAGCGCGCGAAGCCATTGGCTCAAGTGAATCGCAAGAGCTTCAAGATGATTGAGCGCGAGGCACGGGTGGCTCCACGTGCCTCCAAGCATTCTGAGAGGGCGCGGATCCCCAACCGAACAGGCGGATGGCAGTTCTTGCTGGATGGGGAGCGCGCCGACGTGCTTGCCGCAAAGGAACACATTAATAACGAGTGCCAGGAGGATAAGCACCAGTGCGCCCAGGCGGTTTGCACTCTTCAGGGGTCACCCCTGACTTACTCGTGCACCACGGCATGTGTTCCTTCAAAGCATGGGCAAAGACGAGGCATAAGCAGTTCTATGGTAGCATTATGCGCTGGTGCGTGGACGAGTTCCTTCGACCGAATCACAAGTGCGACTGCCCCTGCCGCCGCCGTACACCTGCCGCCAAAAAGCGCCTCGACAAGATCAACACGTCGTGCGCGGAGCAGTTCAACTCCTTCATCAGACGCTTCAACTTCTTCCTGAACAGCCTGCGCCCAAGCTCTCATCGCCTGTGGGTAAAGGAAATCATTAGCCACTGGAACAGCCGCAAGGAGAGTATCAGAGGCATTGCAGTTCCCCGAAAGCACCGCAATGCAGCTCAACGGGCGGCGACCAAGAAGGCCGTCACGAAGAAGCCCGCGCGCGCCACGTTTCTCAGCAAGTGCCGCAAGACCAAGAAGGCCGTCATGAAGAAGCCCGCGCGCCAATGAGTAACTTGTGTTACTGGGTTTAGGCGCGCCTTAGTCGGGCATTGTAACCGTTTTATATATTGGGGTTTTGGTTACAGGGGGAGCCCTGAAACGCGCTCCAGACTTCCGAGGGAAGAAAAAAAGGGCCACTGCCACCTCTTCGTTCTTTCTCTCTCTCTCTCTCTCTCTCTCTCTCTCTCTCTGCTCTCCAAGTGCTCACTCCCTGCTTCGCCCACTTCCCTTTACCTTCTCCTCCTCCTCCTCCTCCTCGTCACCATCATCATCCTCATCTTCCTCCACCTCCATCAAAAAGGCTCAAGTCCTCACAGCGTTCCACTCTCCCTCCCTCCTCCCTCCTCCCTCCTCCTCTCCCTCCTCCTCCTCCCTCCTCCTCCTCCCCTCTCTCTCCTCTCTCTCCGCCTCCTCCTCCTCCTCCTCCTCTCCTCCCCTCCCCCTCCTCCTCTTCCTCTCCTCCTCCTCCCTCCTCCCCCCTCCCTCTCCCCTCCTCTCCCTCCCTCCTCCCCCTCCCCCCTCCTCCCTCCTCCCTCCTCCCCTCCCCCTCCTCCTCCCTCCTCCCCCTCCCTTCTCCCTCCTCCCTCCTCCCTCCTCCCTCCTCCTCCTCCACCTCCTCCTCCTCCTCCCTCCTTCTCCTCCCTCCCCTCCTCCTCCTCCTTCCTCATCCTCCCTCTCTCCTCCTCCTCCTCCCCCCTCTCCCCCCTCCTCCTCCTCCCCCTCACTCCTCCCTCCCTCCTCCTCCCCTCCTCCTCTCCTCCTTCTCCTCCTGCCTCATCTCCTCCTCCTCTCCTCCTCCTCCTCCCCTCCCTCTTCTCTAATCCTCCTCCTCCTCCTCCTCCCCTCATCCTTCTCCCCCTCCCGCCCTCCCTCCCTCCCTCCCTCCCTCCCTCCCTACCCCCTCCCTCCTACCTCCCTCCTCCCTCCCTCCCTCCTCCTCTCCTCCCTCCCTCCCTCCCTCCCTCCCTCCCCCTCCTCCCCTCCCCCTCCTCCTCCTCTCCTCCTCCTCTCCTCCTCTCTCCTCTTCCTTCTCTCTCCTCCTCCTTGAGAAGGGCGAGGTCCTCTCCCTGCAGTGTGGAGGTGGCGCACTGGCGGAAAATCGGCAGCGAGCCCAGGGGCCCTCTCAGAAGGCAACGGGGCTTCTCGGAAGCCCTCCGGCCTTCTGAGCAGCCGCCTCTCTCTCTCTCTCTCTCCTGTCAGTCCTGTCAGCTCCTCCTCATCCTGTCTTCTCCTCATCCTGTCTTCTCCTCATCCTGTATGCTCCTCCTCCTCCTTCTCCTCCTCCTCATCCCCTCCCGCCTCCTCCCCTCCTCCTCCTCCTCCTCCTCCTGCTCCTCCTGCTCTGCTCCTCCTCCTCCTCCTCCTCCTCCTCCATTCATTCATCATCATCATCATCATCATCATCTCATCATCATCATCACATCATCATCATCAGCAGCAGCAGCAGCAGCCGCCGCATCAGCAGCAGCAGCAGCATAATCATCATCATCATCATCATCATCATCATCATCATCATCATCATCATCAGCATCATCATCATCATCATCATCACCATCATCATCATCATCATCAGCAGCATCATCATCATCGTCATCATCAGCATCATCATCATCAGCAGCATCATCATCCTCATCCTCATCCTCATCATCATCAGCAGCAGCAGCTTCATCATCGTCAAGATCATCATCATCACCACCATCATCATCAACAACATCATCTTCTTCAGCAGCAGCATCGTAGTCAGCATCAACATCATCAACAGCATCATCATCATCATCATCATCATCATCATCATCATCATCCTGATCATCAGCATCAGCATCAGCATCAGCATCAGCATCATCATCATCATCATCATCATCATCGTCGTCGTCATCATCATCATCATGCCCCTCCTCCTCCTCCTCCTCCTCCTTCTCCTCCTTCTCTCCGCCGTTGGGGGAGGCTCGGGCAGCTTCCGCGAAGCCGTGTCTGTCTGCTGGGAAGACTTCGAGAGCTTCTAGCAAGGGCAAGCGGCCTTCCGAGCCTCCTGAGGAGAGGGCCCGCCCACTCTCACTTCCCCTCAGGCTCGCCGCCGAGAGTCCCTGCCACACGCGGCCATCGCACGGGGCGGGCGAACCCCCAGGTCACCCAGCCGCAGCAGACCGAGTCCGCTGACCCTGCCGGCGCGTGCGAGAAGCACCCCGAGAAGCACGCAAGAGGCTCAGGAGAGCCCCAAGAGCACCCCCAAGAGGCCAAAGCGTCGTCGTCGTCGTCCCCCTTCAGGGTCGGCGGCACCGGCCCTGAGGCCTTCGCAATAGGAGCTCCTCAGTGTGAGCACAGCTTCTGGAAAAGAGCAAGAGGCTGTCTCGGACCTGCCAGGGTTTTTTCAAAAGGGGTCGCACCACCGTCGTGGTAAACGTTGAAACGAGAAGACAGATTGAGCGTCTGCGCGCATCGTTCTGAAGCACCACTGATAGACGAGCGAGCCCCCACAGGGGCAGCGGTGTGGCGGGCGGCGGCGTGACGGTCGCGCCGCCATTCAGCTTCGCTGAAGGCTGCTGAGCCTGTGGTGCTGGAGCCCCACGGGTCTTCTGTACCTCATGGGGGGCGGCTGGGTCGGCAGCCGGACGCGCGCCAATCCCGCGCCGATGCCAGCCTTATGCAGAAGGCACTTCTGCGCCACCACGGCTCCTGACCAGAGCCATCCTGGGCCACGGCATGGTGTAAACGCCTTGACCCCCGTCCCCGGGGCCCAGCGTGGGGCCCTGACCGGGCATGGTGGAGGCGTATAGGTCGAATAGAGGATCGACTACCACCTTGAGTGACCTTCTTTTTTCCGTCGACTCAGGTGAACAAACACAAACGTAGAATGGTCGCACATGTACGCACATGCTACGCCATTCTTCCGTAGATCCGACTGAAATTTTAGCCCCGGGGTAAAACAAACCCAACGATCCGACGTCTCGATTTGTTCGAGACACGCGCCCCCGACCTCCCGACCACTTACCCGGGGTCAGTTTTGTCATCCAGAATCGGTTTTGACGGTCCTGGTGCCTTGCGAGGGCACCGAGAAGCCGAAAACTAGGAAAAAACTCCGTCTGGACTTTTTCGAGACGCCCGATGTCTGGAAATTCTGCACATTGGGTGGCCCAAAAAGGGGTCCAGCTGAAAGGGGGTGGTGCAATAGATTTGGGGCAAATGTATTGCAAATGTACTGCGCCGGAAGATTGCCTTGCATTGTAGCGCATGTAGTGTATTGCGCGCGAAAATCCAGCAATACATCTACGCCCTGGAATGTATTGCACGCCCCAAATGTATTGCAACCCCGCAAATCTATTGCACCAGAAACTGTTGTCGGTGGACCCCCTTTTGGGTCAACCCAATGCACTCGATGCACCCGATGTCCTCGATCTCTCTCGGTCATCCCGATGCAACCTGGCTGTTTGGAACAGTGCGTCCATTATGGGGAGACTCCACCTGCTCGAAGCAGGTGCCAACAACAAAACCAAAATCTACTCCATGGGGGGGGGTAAGGGGGGGCTTGGGGGCCCGCGCCGATCGGCAAAACAAGGAATAAAAAAACGATCACCTGGGCTTTGTCGAAACGCCCGACATCTGGAAATTCTGCGCTCGATCCCCAATTCAGAAATTTGGACGCCCGGAATGGGTACGGAAAGAATGGTTACAATTCCCAACAACAAATGTTGTCCAAAACCATCAGAGGCCGCTGTTGGGCAGGCGGCCTTCTGTCTCGAATGGACACGGGCCGCGGCGGCGTGGACAGCGAGTCCTGTTCAAAATGAGCAGGATCCGCTGTTGGGCATTGTACCCATTCTTTCCGTGCCCATTCCGTTCGTGCAGAAGAGAAGTGCACTCTGCAGCACCTTGTCCGGATCCGCCAGCAGCACAACCGGGCCCTCCTGCCCCGGTGCACTGGCGTGTGGCGTGACCGCGAAGAGGCCGTGCGACTTCTCCTCTTCGGCGGCAAGCGAGGGGGGAAATGCTCATCCCCCCCCTCCTCCTCCTCCTCCTCCTCCTCCTCCTCCTCCTCCCTCCCTCCCTCCCCTCCTCCCCCCCCCTCCCCCCCCCTCCCTCCCTCCCCCCTCCCCCTCCCCCTCCCCTCCTCCTCTCCCTCCTCCCTCTCTCCTCCTCCTCCTCCTCTTCCTCCCGTCTCCTCCTGCTCCTCCTCTCCTCCTCCCCCGCCCCCTCCCCCCCCGTCCCCCTCCCCCTCCCCATCCCCTCTCTCCGCCGTCGAGGAGGCCTTCTCAGAAGGCTGCGGGACTTCTCAGGAGCCATCTCGCCTTCTGAAAGGTTTCTTGTGTCTTCGGGGAAGGCTTAGAAAACTGCTCCGAAGGCTTGGGGGCTTCCGAACCTTCTGAGAAGGCCCGCCCCGTCGTGTCCCCCCCTCGCTCGTCGCCGATCCTCAGGCCTCGGCAGCTTGCGCGCCTTCCTCACGTGCGAGGGGGCCTCGCTGTGGAACGAGGGCCTCTCCGTCCTGAACGAGGGCCTCTCCGCCCTCTCCACGAAGCTGACGCGGTCTGGCACCGCCTGCTTCGACCACGCCTGCACGGGGCGTGCCGAGCTGCTCCGTGGCGCGGCGTCCGCAGCGCAGTGCCTGCTGGCCGAGAGGGCCTCATGCATGCGGCCGTGCTGCATCGTGAAGCGCTCGACCGCCGGTGCCGGCGACGTATTCCGCTGCGGCGGGCACTCGGCGCCGCCGTCGAGCAGGTGCGGCGCGGCATCCGCCGTCGACGGCGGCGCCACCGAGACGCAGAAGCCCTTGCGCTGCGGCTCCGGTGGGGCGCAGGCGTTGGCGGCCGCCGCCGAGGGGCCTCCCGAGGCCCAGTCCTGGCGTGGCGGCACCGCCGCGGCTGCCACGGCGGAGGCGGCGAGGGCCCTGGCGGCGCTGGCACCGGTCGCCCGGGGAGTTGCCGTGGGGGACGGCCTGCGGTCGCTCTCCGGTGACAGGACCCTGCGCCTGACCACGCTGGCATTGTGCGGCAGGCTTTCCCCCAGGTCCAGCTCCACGGCGGGCGTGGCATCTGGCCTCCTGGTCAGGGCAGCAGCCCTACAAGTTTCAGGCGACCGTCGAGTGATGAAGTGCTGCGGCGTCCTGAGGCCGGGGAGGTGGCGCCCCCTGGGCGCCGCTGGCCCAGTCCTGGGTGTGGCCGGCGCCACTGGCGCAGCAGGCGTGGCGGGCTGCGTGAACCAGACGTGGTCCAACGCCGCAGCCGCTGACAAGCGTTCCCGCTGGTTCTTTCGCAAGAGGCCCATCACCAAGTCCTTGGCCTCGGCCGAGACCTTCGCGAGCGGGGACATGTTCACCTGGCAGCGCATGTTCTTGACTAGTACCTCATTCGCGTTCTTTCCAGGAAAGGGCGTCTCGCCTGTCAGCAGGATGTAGAGTATGACGCCGGTGCTGAAGCAATCGGCTTTGCACGTCAGCGGTTCGCTGAGCACCTCTGGAGCAATGTACCCCGGCGAGCCCGCCTTCATGCTCATCGCCTCGCGGTCACTGACCAACGCGGAGAGCCCGAAGTCGATCAGCTTCAGCGCGTTGCCGGTACCAGTGAGGATCAGGTTCTCGAGCTTGATGTCCCTGTGGACAATGGAGCCCTCGTGCAGCCGGCAGATGGCGGACAGCAGCTGCTTCGCCAGGCAGCGCGCGGCGTCCTCGGAGAACCACTTTGAGCGCTGGAGGTGCTCGAGCAGCTCCCCGCCCGCGAGGAACTCGGAGACGATCGCGTACGTGATGGGAAGCTCAACGCCCAGCATGTCCAGAGTTTCCTGCTCGGTGACCGCGTAAACGCCCAAGATCTCTAGGATGCTCTCGTGGTGGTGGCTCCTCAAGATGGTGGCCTCCAGCAGCGGGTGCATCAGCTTCTCGTCGTACTCCTTCGTGAACACCTTGATGGCCACAGTCGTGCCCGTGTGCCGGTCCTCTGCCTTCAAGACCACCCCGAAACTGCCGTTCCCGATCACTTCCATCAGCTGGTACCTCCGCTGCAGGCCCTGGACAATGCAGCCGGCCGCCTGCAGGCGCTCGAGCAGCAGGGACGCGGCCTCCGGCGTCTTGCACTCCCAGGTCCAGCTCTGGGGGGCGCTCGGCTGGTCGCACTGGGGCTGGCCCTTCAGGGTGCTGAACAGCTCGCAGGCAGGCTTTCGGAGGCCCCTCAGCTTCTCCACCAGATCCTGGGCTTAGGTCGGGCATGTCCCCCTGCCGGCGGATTTTGGGCGAACCATAAAAGAAATACCCCAAAAACATCTTCGAGCATAATCAAAAAATGCCAACGTTGTGGGTGGAGCTCCCTGTTGGGCCACGAAGCGCGTGAGTGACGTGCCGTAATGGGTGGGGGAGACGCATGCGGGCGGTGCCACTGGGGCCTTCGGTGGGGTTCCCTATGGGCCACGAAACGCTATACAGGGTGTGGCGGACGCATGCGGGCGGTGCCCCGCGCTGGAGCTCCCAGATGGGGCCACGAAGCGCTGTACTGGGTGGTGGGAGGCGCATGCGGGCGGTGCCACTGGGGACGTCGGTGGAGCTCCCTGTGGGGCCACGAAGCGCTGTACTGGGTGGTGGCTGACGCATGCGGGCGGTGCCACTGGGGTCTTTCTGTGGAGCTCCCTACGGGGCCGCGAAGCGCTGTACTGGGTGGTGGCTGACGCATGCGGGCGGTCCCACTGGGACCTTCGGTGGAAGAAACTCTGTACTGGGTGGTGGCTGACGCATGCGGGCGGTGCCACTGCGGCCTTCGTTGGAGCTCCCAGATGGGGCCACGAAAAGCTGTGCTGGGTGGTGGCTGACGCATGCGGGCGGTCCCACATGGTCTCACCGGGGCTTCTGTGGAGCTCCCGATGGGGCACGAAGCGTTTGAGGGGTGTGCCGAAATGGTGGACATGCGGAGGGCAGAAGCAAGGGATGGGAGGAGGGGGAGGGAGGAGGAGGAAGGAAGGAATGAGGAACGCGGGGACCGTCTCTTCAAAACGAGGAACCCACACCACAGGATGGTTGGGGACAATCGTCCCCAGACTATCTTTGACTATTTTTGAATATTCCTCTCTGGGGGGCGTTCGGCTGGTTAGGGGACCACATGCGAAGCCTACCCCTATCCCCCACGACCGAAGCGAACCCAACCCTCCCCCTCAGACATCGTGGGGGCAGGGGTAGGGTTCGCATGCGGCCCCCTCCTGGTCGCACTGGGGCTGGCCCTTCAGGGTGCCGAACAGCTCGCGGGCAGGCTTTCGGAGGCCCCTCGGCTTCTCCACCCGCTCGCCATCGCTCGGACGTCCATTCTCTGTGTCTTTGTCGGTCTCGTGCGTGGCTTTTTCGCCACATGATCAAGGATGCTCCTCGATCGTCCTCGCCGAAGGAAAAATGCACACGTCCGAGCGATGCCAAGACAAGATCCTGGGCTTAGGTCGGGCATGTCCCCCTGCCGGCGGATTTTGGCCGAACCATAAAAAAGATACCCCCAAAACATCTCCGAGCATAATCAAATAATACAAGTTTTGTGGGTGGAGCTCCCCGTGGGGCCACGAAGGCCCCTCACAGATCCTGGGCGGGCATCGTCAGGGTGACGGCCGTGTCGCCGACGAGGGCCACGAGCGCGCAGCACAGGGGCACGCGCAGCACCAGCTCCAGGTCGCTGTCGGCCTTCTCCCTGCCCGCGGCGGGGCTCCTGGGCTTCTGCTGCTCCCATCGTGTCGGGCCTGTCCCCCTACGTGGGGATTTTCGGCGAAAAATAAAAAAATACTCCCCAAATACCCCCAAAAGGCAAACAAAGACTCAAAAGATAGTCCCCAGACTATGTTTTGACTATTTGTTTGACTATTCTTGGGGTATTTTTTTCGTCGAAAACCCCCCTGTAGGGGACGAGGCCCGACTTAATGCTCCCATGGGACTTAAGGACCACATCCCAGAAATCATTTCGAGCACTCGGAAAAGCGTCGAAACAGCGTCGAAGCAGTGTCGAACGAGTGCCTCCGGGGGCCCGGCACGCGAGAGCCCTCGAGTTTCGGTACTGTCTCGGTGCTCGAAATTCTTTCTCGTGGTTCAGGGTAACGTAGGTTGAAAGATCATAATCCTGGACCTGCTCAGCGGCGACGAAGCGGAGGGCGCCCTGTAGCACACGAAGGACTCCTCCTCCTGGCAGACTCGCGCGAGCAGCACCTGGGCTTTGTTGCCGGGCATCTGGGGCATCGCGTTTGCTATCTTGCCGATGACCGAATTCCTCCTCAGCGAGAAGCCGCGGCTGCTTCCGGGCCGACTGGCGACGGAAGGCTGCGAAGCACACCGCGCCCGGAGCCTCACAGGTATCCAGTCCGCCGTGCCGTCCTCATTCTCAGGGGGATCCTGGAGATCCGCGGCGGCCGATGGTAGTATAGCGCTCAGCGCGATACCCGCTGACATGTGGTTGCCCTTGATGCACTGGCAGCGGCTGCCAGGGCGGCGGGGCGCATCAGGCGTTGCGGCGGCCTTGTGCCGCTACGCCTTGGGCCAAACAGCCTCGTGCCCACCGCCTGCTGGGATGCCGATGTTGCTGGAAGCCTCTCACCTTGCTCGCAGCACCCTGAACATACAGTCGGGGCGTTGACCTAAGGAAACCTACATGAGGAACGAGGCCCCTTTTATAATAAGTTAAACTTCGATTCCCTGTGGGAAACCTCAGGAAAACCTCAGACAAACTGTTAAACCATCAAGGAACACCGAGCCCCTCCCCAACGACAAAGGGTTCCTTCTGCAGCGCCCCGACTGTACCACCCCCCGGGGCGCCCCCACGATGCCCCAGAAAGGATCCCAGGAGGGCCCAGGACGACCAGCGATGCAAAGCGACGGCTCGGAAGATCCCCAGGACGGCCCAGGACAGTTCAACGGTGGGCTACCGTCGGGGTGTTGAACTAAGGAACCCTAAATGAGGAACGAGGCCCCTGTTCCCAGAAGCCGAACTTCGATTTCCTGTGGGAAACCTCAGGAACACCTGAGGCAACCTGTAAAACAATCAAGGAACACCGAGCCCCTCCCCAACGACAAAGGGTTCCTTCTGCAGCGCCCCGACTGCAGCACCAGCCAAACGCTCCAGAAGACGGCCAGAGGGCCGCCGAGAAGCCGAGAGGCACCCAGGAGGTCGCACAAGGTCTCTTCGGGCCCCCCAGTCGGTTCCAAGAGGCTTCGAGGGTGACCACCAGGAGAAATCTCAGAGGACAGGCAGACCGAACAACCTGTTTTCAATTGGTTTTGACGGCTCGATTCTTTTTGCCTGCATAATTTCCGTGGCGATCCAGCGCGCTGCAGACGGCACCGGGACCATCTAAGAGCAGACCGAAATTGCCCCAGGACGGCCGAAGACTGGCCCAACACGGCCTTGAAATTATCGGGGGCGCGCAAACATGGATTACCGATCCATGGATTTGGCGCGCGGTCGCCAAAGGTGCCCTCCCCAACATGCGGCAGGCGCCGCCTCCCTCGGCGGCGGGGATCCGCGATTTCCCATGGAAACGGACCCGTCGCTAATCCACGCACCCTGAATCCATGTTTGCGATCGCCTGAAATAAACTAGTGCCCATCGTGCGGCCGTGAGGTGGCCCCGTAGCTGGCGAATGCGTTCCCTGCGCGGCCCCACCAGTCGGCCAGGGCGCCTGCACAAGCGATCCACAGACTCTCCGAGAAAGCCCTCACGGCTACCTGCTGTGACCCGTCAATGGTTTTGGTCGCTTCCTCTTCTGAAGCAGTTTCTTCACTTAGCGTCGCCTCTTGGGGAACTGTTTGGGCAGGTGTGGCGCCAAGGGCGATTGACGTTCGTCCGTTTCTACGAACTCCCGCCAGCTCTTTGGGCGAAGGTGGTCTAGCGATACCTTGCAATTCTCTTCCAAAACCAGTTCCCTTCGGGGAGGGGTACCCTCCCCTCCCCTCCCTGAGGGTTTCGTTGGGGGTTTCGCGAGGCGTTAGAACGTCCAAAATGGCCTCGACGAGAAAGCCCAAACCATCGATTTTCACCAAAAGCTGTTGGGCACATGTTGCATCCCCCTGGTGGGGGGACCAAACGTTGGCACTCCCCTATTTTGATCGATCACCTCCAAGATGATCCCAAGAGGCCCCCACAAGCTCCCAAGAGACCCCCAATAGGGCTCCAAGAAGGCCCCAACAGGGCTCCATCCCAAACCCCCCCAGAGAGCGCCAAGAGGACTCCTAGAACCCCCACACAGGGCTTCAAGAGGCGATTGTGAGGGCTTTGTCCTTGTCATCGTTGTCCTCCTCCTCGTCCTCGTCCTCGTCCTCGTCCCCGTCCTTACCCTCATCTTCTTCCTATTCATTGTTCCTCCTGTTCCTCGCGGTGGTGGTGGTGGTGGAGGTGGTGGTGATGGTTGTGGTGGTCGTCGTCGTGGTCGTCGTCGCCGTCGTCGTCGTCGTATTCCTCGTCCTTCTCCTTCTCTCGCCCCCACGCGGGCCCCTGGGATGCCCCGAAGAGGCTTTCCCAGGCCACTTCTTTGCTCCCAGAGATCTCTCCGTTCACCCTGGTTGCCCGCTCTGTTGCACTACATGTGTCTCTCCGTCCTTTCTCCCAAATGGGCTGGTGGGGATACTTTTTGAAGCGTGAAAAATTTGGAACGACTTGAAACCCTCTTGGGGTCACGCGATGGGTCCTCTGCGGCCTGGGGCAATCTTGGGTCTCCAAAGGCTAGTCGTTGGGATCCCTCTGTGCTCTTCCGAAAGCTCCTGAAGCCAAGGGAGCCCGTCGGGGGCGAACTGGCGAAGGGATGAGTAGAGAGTGTCTCTCATGGCTTTCAAATTTTGGGCCTTCCAAGGGCACTCTTGCAACGACATGGGGCCATCCCGGGCAGAGCCGGAAGCCGCCTTGGCGTGTACTGCCAAGTCTTGTGTTGTCTTGCCATGTCTTGTCTTGTCTCAGATTACCTTGTTTGAGTGCCACAAGGAGGCAGGAAGGTAATCATGAACATGTTTTCCTTTTGAAGCTGGATGGGCGCCCTGTTGAACCAATGTAGGGCGGCAGGGTGCACGCAACATCATACAATCGAAACAATCATGTCGTCATCTGTCTCGCCCCTCCGTGCCGACGAAGCTGGTCCTCGGAAGACAGCTTGAAGGGCAGGAGCAGCAGGCGCTGAACTGATACGATACGCAACACTCAACGCGTACCAGGTTGATGCGGAATCTCAACACGCAGACTGAAAGCGCAGGTCTGGCTCCCGGGCATCTAAAAGCAGGCGCCAGCGGCCGATGAAAGGCATGCCCATCAGATGGACGACCCCTTGGCGGACGGTCCAGGCGCAGCGCGCCTGACGGCCGCGCAGCTCCGCCTTGCCGGCACGGCGGGCGTCGCCGATGGCCCTCCTCCGCTCTACAGTCAACAACCAGTATAATGAGGATGCGCGATAAGGGTACAAGGTCCTTGGACGCCCATGTCGAAACTTTTCGAGCACAGCGCGGCCAACGAAACTGGCCAAGGATGGACCGAGGAGGCAATGATGCAAGGGTACCATTAGGAAAGTCGCCCATCCGTACTATGCGGGTTGACTGTAGCATCTCGCCAGCCGGTGCCAGGCGCCACTCGGACCTCGTCGCGAAGTCGAGGAAATAGCCTCGCTCGGGCTTGGCGACGGCATCGGTCAGCATCGGCCTCGCGTCGACGCAGCAAGCGGTCGGCTTCCAGTCGGCTTTGTCACGGTCGTCTTGGCTCGTAGAGTAGCCCATGAGCTCCTTGATCTGAGCCATCACTGTACGAACTCGTTTGTAATTGGGCTGGCCGCTGTCCTTCTCCAAGCTTGAGGATCGGCCTCCAGCGTCCGTCATCACTGCCACGACGGCATCGAACGAGAAGCCGGTGAAATCGGCAATCTGGGTATCCTCGGTCAAATGCCTGAACGAACGTTGCGCTCTCGGCCATCGCCACGAATCCGTTGCGCTCAGCAGGTAGGGAACCGCGGCGCACTCGCTCGATGGTGGCGCTGGCCCACTCCAGGACGTGAATGGCAGGAGGAGCGTCGTCCACCAGCCTCGGGCCGGCCAGTCCAGTGAGGCAGCCGCGCTGCGAGTTCTTCTTGTTGCCCAGGGTCTCGTCGTCAACGTTTCCGTGGCTGCTGCCTCCGCGCCCGAACGCGATCACCATTCCCAAATCGAAGCTTGGCGCAAACGTTACCTGGCTGTTCAAGCCACAGTTAGCCAGATTGATGGTCTTTCTCGTGTTCGCGACGTCCCCGATCGCAGGGCTGCCCATCGCTTGGACGCCAGTCCCTGCGTGCACAGACACTGGGCGGGCCTGGCGCGCTGCCCGTCCCAAGGAAACGACTCCGTCTCGCAGTCCGGAGATCCCCTGGGGAGTCAGCGGTGAACAAGGATGCTTCCTCCAGCGCGGCTTCAGGTGGATGCGCTCCAGCGCGTCCACGGTCTCGACCTGGCCGATCTCATTATTGTAGGCGTCGTCCTGCGCGACCGCCTTGCCGCGGTACCTGAACGCGTCGTACTTGAAGGCTCAGGCAAATATTGGCCTTGATGGTGTTCATGCTGCCGAGTTGCTCTCGGCCTGTCCACGACGCGAACAGGTCGTCGATGCGGGTGCGCAGCAGACCGATCAGCACACCAGATGCGCCCCTCAGCATGCACGCGCATGGCTCGTCGAGCGGCCCCTTCCAGCCATGCCCGGTTAGGATGGCCATGCGACGCAGCCATCGCTATCGCACGGAGTCCCCGCTGTCGAAGATGGCGCCCCGAGCCCTCATGAGCGCCCACTGCAGGGGCTACAAGTGGCGACGGTCTCGGAGCCTTGAGGGCCAGCGTCTCCTCGGTCCCCTGCGACTGCAGGCATGCCGCGGCGGCGTCGGCCGCTGCGTCCCAACCCATGGCGGGGCGCCGTGCGGTTGGCCGCAGCGCGGGATGCGAGACGGCTGGTGGCGGGGGCGTCTCCATGCACATCCGCGTTCTTGACGCGCGTGGGCGACCGTGCGGTTCCTTGCTGCAGAGGGGGCGTCGTCCGTGGTCTAGCGCGACCTGCGCTTCTTGGCGTTCTGGTCGGCGCGAACTACTCTCGCGCCAACGGGGTGCACTCCCCGTCGCATGGGGCCCCCCCCCTGACCCGCTCGTCGGTGGGCACCCCCGCTGCATGCGCCCCTGCGCGGAAATGCCTGACTCTCGACGAAGCTCTGGTGCATAGTTGCGTAGCCGTACCTTGGCTTTCGCAAGTCCATTCGTGAGAAAGACGACTCCGCCCGGTCGCTGGCCCCGAGGCCCTCGTCGATGCGCGCGAAGATGGCCTCGGCAAGCTGCGTCTCGGATAGCGGCGCAGTCCGTGGGCTCCGATGCTCAAGTGGTAGGACACGAACATCGATGTCTTGAACCACCACGCCCGTCTCGACGACCTTCGCGACGCGGCGCAGCGCCGCGGCGACGCGCGCCTTGCATCCATAGCCTGCGCGCCTCCACTCGCAAGCTGAAGCGTCGCCCACCTTGCAGTCGGCAGGACAATGCTCGCGCGGGCACTTGTCGATCAGTCGGC